CCCCCCACAGAGGACCCCCAGGCAGTGAGCCCTGAGGAAGAAGAGCCTGGCAGCCAGGAGCCAGCCTGGCCCTCCCAGCTAGGCCTCCAAGTCCTGTTGAACATGAACAATTTCACGGAACATCAGCATCAGGCGAAGGCCGCTCTGTGCCCATGACGGTCAAGGCAAATCAAGGCCACCTCATAACTGTGGCTGAGCCCAGGCAAGCAGGAACACACAACACACAACACACAACACACAACAGTGAGCACACGCCCGCCTCTCGGGGCTGGTCCGTGAGCTCTGCCCGTCTGCCAACGACCCAATGACAGCATTAGCTTGGGCCTAGCCTTCCCTCCTTCTAGATCAGACGGATTAATCAGAGGATTAGTCCTGCTTCCCGCCAGTACCCGGTGTGGGGCAGAGCCCCACTTCCCCAGGCCCTCCCTCAAAACCCCTCACTCCTCAATAAGCTCTTTCTCACCCCCTCTGAGACATGGCTGCCTTGGGGTCTGTCGCCCTCATGGCCATAGTGAACCCAACTATTAACTATGCGTGAGCTCTGGGTGGGCATCTACCCAGGTGGATGGATTCTATCAAACATCTAACTCTGCAAAAGTCAAAGGCAGGGGGCCATCTCACCTCCCTTTTGCACACGAGGAACGTGAGGGCCCCAGAGGCGACCAGACTTGCCCCAGTTTGCAGAGCGGGGTGAATGCATAATTTATCCCTCAGCTGGGACAACTTTGATAGTGAAAGGGTCCACGAATAATGAGTGGGGACAGTGGGCATAGACCAGGACTGCCCAGCGCTGACAATGCATACGGGATCCCCATCACGCTGCAAGACATGGGGGGGATGCTGCCCCAACCCCCCCCCCCCCCCCCCCCCCCCCCCCCCCCCCGCCCCGTGCCACTCCCCGGGACAGGGTTAGGCTCTCTGCTGGCGGGCCTGGCAGCCAGAGGCTCTGGGTTCTCTGGGGAACACCCCGCAGTTGTGATTCAGGGGCACGGGCGGCTCCTGAGATTCTGTGCCACACAGCTGTCCCACATGGTCACCGCACCGCGGGTGGTGTTCACTTTCCAGAGAGTGCCCACAGTGCCCGCCGGGCACGATGCCTTATTCATCCCGCCCACAGAGGGGATGGGTGGTAGTTTCACATAAAAGAATTTGCAGGTGAAGGTGACCCCTTAAAACATCGAACACTTTATTTTAGCTGTTTGCCCAGACGCCCCTTCTGATGCAGGCCACCTGCTCCCCTGACGCTGCACCTTACTGTCCACTGTCTCCGAGAGGGGATGTGCCCCGCGGCGCCCTTCACCATAGAGGCTTTCCTACTGGGTGGGGGTGGTAATGACCCAGAATGAAGGGGGAGGTGCGTCTCCAGGGGCGTGTACTTCTGACTCAGCACAGGGCGCGTCCCCCTCCCTCAGCCGAGACCCCCAACTCTAACCCAGAGGCCCCGGGTGCAAGTTCTGAGTGGGAAGCATTGTCACTGGCCTTCTCTCGGACGCTGCCACTGTCCATGCTGGGGCACACAGGCGTTGGCAGAGATCAGACTCATACAAGCATTACGCCGGGAGGCTGCGGGACAGTGATACCTTCGGGGGTTGCTCAGGTAGCCTGAGCTGGTCGTCGCTGCCTTCGATGGCCCCAGACGGTTGTGCGGCTGTCACTCTACTGCCCCCGGTGTGCCCACTGTCAACCCCTCGGCTCCCGCCTTGGCTTGCACTCTGCACTCTGTTCCTAACTTAGAAGATGCCAAGCTCAGTAGATCGTAAGCTCTTGGTGGGCAAGAACCTTCTAGGTTCGTGTCTCTCTCCCCCTAAAGAGTCCGGCGTAGTGTCTGGGACACCGTAGGTGCTCCGTAAACCCCACCGGAATCAAGCTGAATCGAGCCAGGAGGCTTCGTTTCACCCACAGTCCTAAGCCAACGCAGATGTACTCTGCAGGGAAGGGGGTTTCTGTGGGGGCTTTCTGCCCGCCTTTGTGGCTCCTGTGCATGCCATTTGGAGGTCTGAATGCTAGAGAATGGAGGGGTGGGGGGCTGAGAGCTCGGGGATGGCGATGGGGGGCAACCACCTGCAAAAGGCTCTGCTCAGGCTTGTAAGCCTTCAGTGACCACTGGCCGGAGCGCAGGAGATACCGAGGTGAGGAGAGTTAACGTGCTAGCCTCGGGCAGCCAGCCCTGCTCCGGCGGTAAGTGTTCGAGGCCCAAGGGTGGCACAGAGGAGCCAGAAGTAACTCGGTCCGGGAGGCGGTAACACCAGGCGAAGCTTTCAGAGGAGGGACATCTGTGCCGGGGTCTGAAGGCTGAGCATGAAGTTGCCAGGACATGCAAGGAAGCAAAGGGCACGCTGGGGGAGGGGACAGCTTGGGACGCAGTAGTGGGAGGGGGGCGTGGAATTAGAGAGAGGAGGTGTGGAGCGGGGCTGGCCAGGGGGAGGTCAGCAGAGGCGACTCATGGAAGGTTTTGGATCTGGGGCTGAGGGGGCCACAGGAGGGACGTGGGCAGACGACGTGGTTCGCTCCGAATGGGGCATGGGGCAGGATGGGGGGGGGGGGGGGGGGGGCGGGGAGCGGGATCGGGAACCCTGAGAGGCCTTCACAGAGGATCAGGGTAGCACCAAGTTGGGTCCTGCTCAGAGGCCAGCTTTGGGGGGAAGCAGAAAAGGCTCTTGAGGGCCCCAGCGGCAGCGAATCTTCTCAGTGAATCACAGCGTACCTTCAAAGCTTCACCACAGGAAACTAACAGCTGGAGAGCAACAGCCCATGGACAGCAAACATCCCCTCCCCATGCACTTCTTGGAGCCCCCAGAGTGCTCTCGGGTCCACTGTCTCGTGCAAACCTCCACACAGCCCCATTTGGCAGACAGGGGCATCGAGGCCCTGTGAGGTGGCATGGGGGTTAGCGGTGGTGCAGGGCTAGAACCCGGGGAGTGGTCCCATCTCAGCCCTGGGCGTCGGGCTCAAAGCCCAGCTCCTTGTCCGGAAGGGGGTCCCCAGGGCTGTCCGGCAGCCCATAGTACAAGTCTTCCCCTTCCTGCTCTGGCTCCTCTGTGCCTATGTCTGAAGGCTCCTCTTCCTCCTCCTTTGTCCTTTGGGACTGCTGCCCATAGCCGGACAGGGCAGTATCCCACCACTGCCGCTCTGGAGACGCGTCCTCTGACGTGGGGGCGTCGATCAGGGCAAAGTCATGGAAGCGGTCCAGCGGGCACTTGCAGGCCCAGGGCTCCCCAGGCGGGGGGTGAGGCTCGTCCTCCTCAGGCGGAGATGGGTTGAGGCTGCCTTCCTCATTGGAGCCCACATCCAGGTCATCTTGGAAGGAAGCCAGGGGTGCAGGGCCCTGGGGACAGGCCCGGAAGCTGCAGGAGCAAAGGCCAAGAGGGCGAGGGTAGCCCTGAGTCAGAGTGCCTGGGTCCAAATTCCAGCCACTGGCTGCAAGGCCCGGGGCATGTGAGTTCACCTGTCTGGGCCTCAGTTTCCTGAGGAGAAACTGGGAGAAGTAATAGTACTCACTCCTAGGGTTGTCTCGGAGGATTACAGCACATAGTGGGTGCAAAGCACTTTGCACAATGCCTGGCATATAGTAGGTGCTCAAGAAATGGGCATTATTATGTTATTATCCACACCGGGTCCTTCCTCTGCCTCTCCAGCCACTCAGGGGTCACCTTCTGTTCCCTCGTCTGCCTCCCACATCGGACACGGAGCTCCTGAGGGGTGGGGGGCCTTCGGGGTGGGGGGGCAGGCAGTAGGTTCCAGCAATGGCGGTAGGATAAATGAATAAATGGACGCAGGAGAAGCCCAGTTCATAAATAGTCAGGGAAGGGCTGGGTGGGGAGCGCCCTGCCCGAGGTCCCAGAGCACCTCAGCAACAGAGCCTGCATTTGAACTCAGGTCGTCAGGCTCCCTGCCCCCAGGAGAACTCACAATGAGCATTCAGAGAGTGCAGGGGGCGGTGGTGGGCCTGGCACTTGAAAGCACTGTCCCAGTTCTCACAACAACCCTCTGAGGTAGGAGTGATGATTCCCACATGGGGGAACTGAGGCCCAGGGGGATAAGAAGCTCACCAAGACTACGCAGCAGAGGAGCTGGGATTCGAACCCGGGCCCGGCCGACCAAGCCCAGACTCATGCGTCTGCTACATCAGCTGCCTCTCAGGGTGTCCCCACCCCCATGCCCTCTCTGGTCCCAGATGTTCCCCCACCAGCCATCAGTGGCCCACAGCCCCTCCTCCTTCACCCCAGAACTGGGCAGCATCCCCACTCCTGCACTCCGTGCACTCACCCAAGCCTGCTCTCAGTCGGGCTTCTCTCTTCCCCGTCCTCATCTGAGCCCCTGTGGATGACCACCGCAGCCTCCATCCAGGCCTGAGCCTCACAAGGGCCACCTTCTCCTCCACCACTGGCTCCCAGCTGCGGCTGTCCCGGCTCAGGGGCCAGCAGGGGACGGGGGTCCTCATGGTAGCCCATGACCTTCATCTGGATGTGGCTGAAGTCAGGCAGGCTCTGGTCATAGGCGGCTTCCTCCCACAGCCTGACATATGGGGGCTGGGGGCTGGGTGGGGCACAGCAGACAGCGGAGACAGGACAGACAGGTAGGTGGGCAAAGGTCCACACAGGAGGAGACATCGGCGTTCCCCCCTCTTCCCCCGGCCCCCCTGTTCTGGACATCCGGTCTCCCCGGGTCTCCAAGAAGCCTTTGGGGGGGATGTAACTGTACCCAGTTCGTGGATGAGAACACTGAGGCCCAAGAAGGCGTGGCAGGGCTCAGACTCTCAGTCCAGTGCTCCTTTTACTCCACGGCTCCAAAGGTAACCCCAGGAGTACAGTTGTGAGATGCACCCCAGTCCGCACTGGCTGAAAGCGGGCTGCGTTTCAGACAGTGGGCTAAAGGCCCCTGCTTCCCATCCCATTTATTCCGAACACCACCTCGGAGCCCAGTGTTGTTCAGGTGAGGACAACAGCCCAGCTGTCGAGTGCTCCTTGCCTGCCAGGCTGCGTCAGGGAGCTCAGCTAATCCGCACCGTAACTGGGAGCTGGGAGGCACTGCGACTTGAGCTGTGGGTGCCTCGGACAGCAGGTGGCAGAGCTAGGGCTCCAGCCATCACGTTCTCTATGCTGTCTGCAGCCCCTCCGGAAAGTGAGGTTCGGAGCCTAGCTCCCTCACCCAGGATCACACAGGTGAGCCCAGAACTCAGAGCAGCCTGAGCAGCAGCTCTGTGCAGTGGCCCTTCCTGTGGGACTGATCCCGAGGCTGACCCCTGCGCCCACCCAGGGTCTAGCCACCTCACTCCCCTGGGGACATTCGGTCACTCTGTGCGCCAGGAACAGAAAACACCATCCCTGCCTCCTTCCCTAGGCAACGCAGACAGTTCCAGGGCCCTGGTCACAGACCCTGGACGTACAGCTTAGCGCTCTGAGCGCAGAGCCACAGCCTCCAGGGCTGGGGAGGGTGGCCGGTCCCACTCCCTCCCCAGGGTCTGGCCCATCACTGACTCCCTACGAGGTTTAAGGCCTGTGGTTGTCCTTTCTGAGCCTCAGTTTCCACATCTGTATAAAGGGTCCGACCCCCCGGCCCCCCCCCCCCCCCCCCCCCCCACTTCACAGGGTCTCTATGAGGACTGAAGGAAGTCACGAGTGCATTACCGGTTTAGCCTCTGGTGCAAAGGAAGTCGTTCCTACGAATGGTGACAAGCTTAGGGAGAGGGCCTACCATGCACCAGGTTCTGTTCTCAGCACTTTGCTTATATTATCTCACCTATCTCTCCCCGAAGCCCTAGGAGAAAGGTGCTATCAGTACCCCTATTTTGCAGGCGGGGCAAAGAGCGGTAAGTCACTTTCCCCAAATCCCACACGGCTGTGCTTGGCCATCGACATGCCCCTTGTTTGCCGTCACAAGGCATAGTAGCCGTCACAGCTGTTTGAGATTTGGGGCCACACCTGTTCTTGATTTCTGGCCCCGCCTCTACGTCTCTCCAAGACAGGGCAAAGTCCCTGAGCCTCAGTTTCCTCATCTGTCAAGTGGGAATAATAACGCCTACGTCGTAGAATTGAGAGTTCAGAACAATCCCCGATTATTAATAGCATGCTCTCAGTGCGTGAGGAGGCAAAGCGGGAACCTGCGGCAAAGCAGAGGAGACACCGCCCGCCCCTCCCACCCGGACTCCATCACTCTCCTCCGTAAGAGGAGGCTGGCCTGGCCTGAGGGGCTGCCGCTGCCCCCCACCCCCACCCCCGAGGGCTTGGCACCTACCTCTTCATCTCGGAGGCGAGCCCATCTCGCCTCTCCAGCAGGCCCAGCGCCTTTGGGGACAGGTTGCCTTGGAAGTCAGAGTCAGCGGGTATGAAGGTGATCTGCGAGGCAAAGGAGAAAAGGCTTCTCTGCAGCTCCCCCGCCCATCCAGACCAGGGGGGCCCTCGCCCCCGCCGTGTGACAGGAGAGGGGCCGGCTCAGGACCCAGCAGCGGCAGGGGCGGCGGGAGAAGAGGGGGAGGGTGTTTGGATCTCTAGGCTTCTGCTCCCACCAGGATCTTCTTTTCACCCAAAAGACATTTATTGAGCACCAGCTGTGTGTCAAGCACGCTCCTTGGCCCTAGGGGGCAGCAGTGAGCAAATGAGACAAACATCCCTGCCCTGGAGGAGGTGGTGTCTTCTCGTTTCCCGGGGTCCTCGTCCAGTGCCCAGAATATGCCTGGCACCCAGTGGGTGCTTCATCCATATCTGGCCCGTGAGTGAAAGCAGATCATTGTCATCGATTTCTGGGCATAGAGGCTGCGGCGGGGGAAGGGAAGGGAATGGCTGACGTTGCACCCGCTACTCCCTGTCCTTGAACTTTCAGGGATCAAGAGGTCTCTGCAGGTGCAGCACATGGGGTGGGCGCCTGGTGGCAGAGGGGAGGCAGGTCATAAAGGAGGCAGTGGGATGAGACAGAAGGAGCCCTGCTTTGGGGGATCCAGGAGACTGGGGAGATTCTTCCCTCAGGCAGCTCATCCCTCCTCTCAGAGCCTCTACGTGCTCCTCTGTAAAATGGGCTAGCCTCGAAGAGATATTTGCAGCGTTGTTCACAACAGCCGAAAGGTGGAAGCAACTCAAGTGTCCAACAACAGATGAATAGATGAAATGTGGTACGTACATGCAGTGGAACATCATTCGGCCTTAAAAAGGAGGGAGGGTCTAACACAGGCTACGACACGGATGAACCTTGAAGAAATAAGCCAGTAACAGGGGCGCCATGGGTGGCTCAATCGGTTGAGCGTCCGACTTCAGCACAGGTCACGATCTCACGGTTTGTGAGATCAAGCCCCACATCGGGCTCGCTGATGTCAGCCTGTCAGCACGGAGCCCACTTCGGATCCTCTATCCCCCTCTCCCTGCCCCTCCCCTGCTTGTGCTGTCTCAAAAATAAACATTAAAAAAAAAAAATAAGCCAGTCACAAAAAGACAAATTCTGTACCAGTCCACTTGTATGAGGCGCCTTCAATAGTCAAAGTCATAGAGACAGAGAGTAGAATGGCAGTTGCCACAGACTGGAGGGAGGGGGGTGGGGAGTTATTGTTTAATGGGCGTAATAGAGTTTCAGTTTTGCAAGATGAAAAGGGCTGTGGGGATCGGTTGCACAACAATGTGAATTTAATTAACACTACTTCAAAATGGTTAAGACAGCAAACTTCGTGCGATGTGTATCTTACCGCCATGTTTGTTACATGGGGCTAGCGAGACCCGTCTCCTGGGGTTGCTGTGCGGATTCCATGAGATAACGTATGAGGAATTCCCCAGAACAATGCTGGGCACATAGGGGCCGCTCAGTAAACCATAGTTTGATGCTACGGGGGATGAAGTTGTCTGGCCTCTCTGAGTCTGCTGTCCTCAACTGAAAATCCGTTCAACAAATATGTGATGAGACCCTACTGTAATATACGAGAGTCATGAATAGTCTCTCTCTTCCTACAGAGCGCGATGAGTAAAAGACACTTGTTTGCACCGCAAAAGCTCCCTCCTGCTGGGGAGCAGGGGATGATGGGTAGAGGGGTTCTTAGAACTCCTATGAGTGGTAAGCTTCCCCCCAAATGTCTAGAAATAAGGCAAGGGTCTTGGTATCTTCCACACCTACCAAGGATGCCCTTCACTCGCCAGCTGGCTCTGTACTTCTTAGAAGCTGCCCATTCCTCTATCTCATTACCTCATGGCTCAGTCACCACCTCCCTCCCTTCCTCCTCCTCCTCCTCTGCCTCCTCCTCCTCCTCTTCATGAACAACACGATTAGCACCCCCACAATCACCACCACTACCATCATCTCTATCACTGTCACCATCATGTCACAACCACACCACCATCGTCACTGTCACCACCACCACTATCATCTCCATCAACATCATCAGTATATCCTTACCATCACCATCACCATCACCACCATCATCACCATCACCACCATCATCATCTCCATCAACATCATCTC